GGTGTGCAAGCCAAGCATTAGTTATTTGGTAGTAATAGGATTTTATTGTTTTCTAGTGTTAGGATTTCTATTATTGCAAGATTTAGGAGATCTAGTTTATTTAGGCTTAGATTTAATTTATGCACCTATAAATACCCCATGTACCTCATCATATTTGACATGTTGAATTGAGTATTGAATTGGTGAGCCAATCTTGAGGGGAAACTGATGTTCTTAACGTGTGTTTAAACAAGGCCGTTAGTGCATGTTTACATACAGTGTCGGAGAGAAGGCCATTAGAGCGTCTTGAAGTCACGGTATCTAGGAGAAGACCGTAGTGCGTCTGTTAGATACACCTATCATGGATAAACGAAGGCCCTGAGTGCGCCGTTTATTCACAACCCAAAAAGAGATAAAAACACGATCCGTCATCATTGGTACTTTCATTGAGAGGTGCTGATCGTGTGATTATCTATCTATCTTTTTTCTTTTTTCGGTTTTGCCTTTTGCTGAGGGGGCCGAATTTTTGTTCTTTTTGTTCGAAAATTTTTGAATTTTCTATTCGAATTTTTCAATTATTTTTCGTGTCTTACAAAAAAAAAAGAAAGTGTCATCTTGTTAGTCCTTGTTTGATTTTTCGTTCGGTTATTACCTTTTATTGAGGGGCCGATTTCTCTTTGTTTTATCTTTTTATTTTGGTTCGACTTTTTGTTTGAATTTTTAGAGTAAGAAAAAAAAAAGATTTATGATGTCAAACCGTGAGAGGATTCAAGCGTTGGAAGACAACATGAAAATCATCGGCGATGGTCAACATGCTACCAACGAGAACTCTGGAAGGATCGAACTTATGGTACAGGACTTGGCCGGGCAGCTAACGCACATGAACACACGACCAAGGAGGTGTCACGGGTCAAGGTCCACGACGACAAGCACCGGGACCGAGCGGGAGTACGATCACCGATCGAGGGGCACACACGGATCACGTGCGGACCACCACCATGACGATCGGCGACGGTATGATGGACGCGCACATCACGACTGAAGGCGCGAGGAGGACGACGACTGGTGATCACACGCATCGTACGCGTCGCATGCGACACATGATGAGCGGAGGCCACACCGCGATGGCCGACGACGCGACGCACGGCGACACGAGGGACGCCACGATTGTGATGAACAAGTGGACGAGAGGGCAGGTATACGGCCAAAAATTGTCATGCCCACGTTCACGGGGACAGATCCAGACGCATGGTTGAGTCGAGCTGTGCAATTTTTTGAGATCAATGATGTGCCAAGGTACGAAAGAGTTCAAATTGCTGCTTATCATCTGGATGGAGAAGCAAACGTATGGTGGCAATGGGTGATGCACAAGAACCATGGCGAGCACATGCGTTGGAGGGATTTCGAAAAAGAGCTTATCACAAGGTTCGGCTCAAGTGACTACCACGATTACAATGAAGCCTTGTCTAGAATTAAGCAGGTTGGTAGTCTGAGGGAGTATCAAAAGGAGTTCGAGTGCATTGCTAGTAGAGTGCGGGATTGGCCCGAGAGTGCACTAGTAGGAACGTTTGTTGGAGGACTTAAAGCTGAACTGGTAGTCGAAGTGAGGTTGGACAGGCCAGGATCGATGCGAGAAGCTATAGAGTCGGGTAGACTGCACGAAGATCATCTCGTGCAGTACGCAAGGCGAAGCCGAGCGACGTGCGCACAGAGACCAAGCGCACGAACGCTGCGACTGAGGAGCTAACGGCACAAACCGAAAGCAAGCCGTTGGGAGAGGCTGTTCGAACGACAAGCAACATACGGCGGCTTACTGACGAAGAGATGCAGCGACGACAAGAAAAAGGCCTTTGCTATTCGTGCAATGAAAAATTCACACCAGGTCACAAATGCAAGGGTAAGGAAGTATTTTTGTTGGAAATTGGGGATAATTGCGAAGAAGAAGAACCACGAGAGGAGTCCTTATTGCATATGGTTAAGAGCAAGAAACGTGGTCCGAAGATGATCACATTCACGGCTGAAGTGAGAGGAAAATTGGTGGAAGTATTGGTTGATAGTGGGTCTACGCTAAACTTCATTGATGAGGAGCTGTCCAAAGAAATTGAGATTCCGTTCACCAAGGTAAAACCTTTTGGAGTCAAGGTAGCAAACGGGGAAACGCTACGAGGGGATATTCTCTTCAAGGGTGTAAAGTTGGAGGCTCAAGGTCAAAAAACGAGAGTGGATCTATATGCCTTGCCATTGAAGGCGACTGATATAGTACTTGGATGCCAGTGGTTGGAGACTCTTGGTCCAATCACAACTTATTATTGGAAAGGAACTATGGAGTTCGGGAGATCAAGTAAGAGGGTCAAGTTGAGGACTGAGGATCCAGGCGAGTCTCCTGATGAGGATGACGATGATAGTCGAGTTAGGAAGCTGAATTTTCTAATCCTTGGGGACAAGGAAGGTCTTGAAGAGGAGGGGAATGATACGGAAGTGGAGTTAGGGACCGGCGAGTCTAGTAAGGGGCTAAAAGGCAAAAGGTGTGCATCGGCACGTGATCACACAAGTGGGCAAACAAGCCGCGCACGCGAGATTGGCAGGGAGTACGCGGGCGTATGGTGGGCGGGTGCACGGGTGCACGCGGGTACGTCGTAGGTGATTGGGGCGCGGGCGGTAGCTGGGACGCGCGGAGGTCACGCCGGGAACAGATGGGGCGCGAAGGGCGCGCAAGTAAGCGGCACGCGGGCGCGCGACGCAACGCGCGCGAGAAGGTCGGCGATGGCGAGATGCGCGCAATGGCGCGCGAGTGCAGCGAAGACGCGGACGCTTGCCTATGCGCGGTAGGCATAGGCGAGGGGAATTGGGCACACGCGCGAAGGGAAAGGCGGCGATGGCTGGGCGCGCGCACAAGCGCGCGCGTGCGATACGGGTGCGCAAATCCTAAGGTGCCGAGGATTAGGAAAGCCCGATGGCGCGCGCATGTGAGGCGGTCGAATAGGTTGGGGCGGCGACTAGGAGATTCTAGATTTGCTTGGTGTGCAAGCCAAGCATTAGTTATTTGGTAGTAATTGGATTTTATTGCTTTCTAGTGTTAGGATTTCTATTATTGCAAGATTTAGGAGATCTAGTTTATTTAGGCTTAGATTTAATTTATGCACCTATAAATACCCCATGTACCTCATCATATTTGACATGTTGAATTGAGTATTGAATTGGTAAGCCAATCTTGAGGGGGAACTGATGTTCTTAACGTGTGTTTAAATAAGACCATTAGTGCGTGTTTACATACAGTGTCGGAGAGAAGGCCATTAGAGCATCTTGAAGTCACGGTATCTTGGAGAAGGCCGTAGTGCGTCTGTCAGATACACCTATCGTGGATAAACGAAGGCCCTGAGTGCGCCGTTTATTCACAACCCAGAAATAGATAAATACAAGATCCGTCATCAGTCGTCCCTAGCGCCCGCGTGGTGCCAGCCGCACCCGCCAGTGCACGGACCATGCCAGTCACGCACGGGCCAGGTGATGAGAACACGGCAAGGAGATTAAAGAATGCTGCGAGCCGCGCTTATCATGCACGACGGAGGTTAACCCGACGGGTTGCCCAGGCCCAACTCATTAGAGGACATGCGCGCGCGGACGGTGACGCGCGCGAGAATCTCGGCCAAGGGTGCATTAGCGCGGGTACGAACGAGGAGGTTCACGCGCGAGCAGGCCTAACCACGCAAGGAGTAGGCGAGGCGGGCGCGCGAGGGCAGCACGCGCGCAATTGCGGCTTGAATCGCAAGCAAGAGATATTCTAGATATTTATTTCCTTGTTTTCTAGTTTGTTTAGGACTCCTAATATTTTATTGCTTTATTAGAGTTATAGTTATATTAGGACTAGATCTAGTTGATGCCTATATAAAGGCCGTTCCTTGTTATTTTTCGGCATTCAGAAATTAATACAAAATCCGAACTTTTGTTCAAACACTTTGCTCGGGTTTTCTTCTTGAATTCTTTTGCAATTTTATTCGTTAGAAAGGCTGCGAGTGTGCGACTTCCTAACACCTATCGAGCGATTTAAGGCGCGGGAGCGGCTTGTCGACAATCG